TCATAATCATTATAATCCCACCGCAATTTGGAAGTTGATGCCATTTATAATGAATTTAATATTGATTTTGTCATTTAAGCATGGGAAAACTAATTTCGAGAAATTCATTAAAACCAGACCTACTGATGAATTACTAAATCGAAAAGATAAAAGAACAGGGGAAGTTTGAATTCAAACTGCCTATAACATAAAACAAACTAATCTACTTTCCAGTATACTCACCTCGTTTATTTTATGCTTATTAAGTTTTAAAGAGTGGAAGTAAAAGTAATTCTTCCCTAAAAATTCATTTCTTTTATCTGATCCCCAAAAATTTATTAAGAACCGCCAAACGAAGCTATCAATTATTTTTACAATAGTTTATCTCAAAAATGGAAATTTCATCCCTCTTTAATTCCATCTTTTATTTGACATCTGTTTCATGTCTTACAACCTTTATATTTTCGTCATTTTTATCTCCACTTTTTGCATAAAATTGGAATGGAGAGAATACTGTAACTATAATAGCATTTGCAAACATAAGCTTATGATATATAATGATACAATCTTAGGAAGGAAAACTCTTATTCCTTTAGATTTAGAACAACAATGATGATTTTTTAAAAGACAGTAGAAACAACTGGTAAGTAATCCTGACAAATGCTATGTTGTACGATAAAAAAACATTTCTCGACAAAGTGAAATTTTCCAAAGAAACAGAAATTACAAACGACTTAGACGATCTTACATTGTTATTGCTCTTTGATTAACATTTTCAAGACATAGAAAAACTTTCGAGTTGTGGTTGAAAAAGTGTCGCATTTTCATTCCCATTCAAAGAAACTTTGTTCTCTGCTATATGGATGATAGGAAGGAATAATAATAGTATAAAGATTAGATAAACTGCTGAACAGCTTAGTCAACAAAAGTGCAGAAGGAGAAAAGGAAATGAAAAAATTATTGGAAGAATCCTGTCATTAGTGACGAAAAAATAAGACAATTTGTTTAAGGTGAATAAATGTAAAGAAAATTATTTCGAATTTGAAATAACAATATAAAAACCAGTTTGAGATATGGCGGTAATACCCTCTGTTCAATTCTATTAGTAGCATATGCATTTTTGAACAGAATCTTGAATATGACTGCAAAAGATAAACAAATTTTACATGAGAACAAACTGGGCAGTGTAGCATCAACAAATTTACATGTATTGAGGTGGCAGATCAAATTCATTTAATGATGGCGAAATCTGACATGCAAGATCTGATTCGAAATTTTGATCAGTTGAGGTGCTCTAATGGTATTTATATCGCTAATACATATAAATTAATCTTATTCGGTAAGAATCGTCATAATTCATTCCTAAAATTTGAAGTTCTCGAAGAAATCTTCCCAAATTGAAAGTAAAGTTTTAATAACAAATAAAGAGAAATCACTGTCGAAGTTACAAACTTCCACCAGCTAATTATGATCAGTTTAAGTTTATTCTGCATCATCTGATTCCCAAATTCAAGAAATCCCCTAAAAATTTCATTCTTTCAGATAATCATTCATACTTTGCCACAAGAAGTACGTTTTTGAAGAACAATACAGTGAAATTCACCGTGAAATATAGCAAAAATCCGATATTTCTCCTCGTAGTAAAAACGTCAGTCCTTCGCAAATCCCTCAAGAAAGCGTGATGTAATCTGATTGAAATATTTAGGAACGATTTAAGTTTACAGAATCAAGTTTTAATAACTTTCAATCTGATTCCTAATCAACACGACACTTCTCAACCGTATCGATCATCTAGCATCAATAGCTTTCATTTTGCATAACTTATTTATTTGCCAATTTAATCCTTTCAAAAACAACTATGTTGATTCCGGATCTCCCTCAACACATCCGGCATTTTGTTTCAGGCCTAACCCAATTTTTCACGAGGGATATTTGAATTAAAATATAGCATAATGTTTAAGAACTGATGAGGAACTGGAAATATTTCAATTTTTCATTTTTAAAACTGATAGTAGAGGTTACCGTCACCAAAATACTGAACAGTTCCTCTACATGAAATATTCAAGATAATTTGTTATTTAAAAGCAGTGATTTTTTTGTATGCTAACTGAAGTCGAAGTAAAAATATCATTAAGGTGTGTAATAAATAACATGAAATCAAAAATTTTCTTTTCATGTTTCGGAGGATCATACGACAGAAACTGTCGTAATTAAACATTAAGATTCTTCAACATTAAGATGAATCCATTAATCATGATGATTACTATGCGATAACTTTCAGCAAATTAAATATCAATATATTTTTAACTTTAACAGAGGAGAAGACGCAAGAGTTAATCTCATAAATCCATCTTATTTTTACGAAAAAATCCTATTTTGATCGGAAAATTTTGACTAAAAAACATACTCTATTGTGTCTAATTTTTATTAAAAAAATTTCGAGCAGATTTTATAGTATTTTGTCGAAAAAAAAAAAAGTTTACGCAACGACAACGAAACGATAGCAGGGAGAAAACGAAAAAGTAACCGAAATTATATTTAGAAGAAATGCAATGCTGTGAAGGTAAAGGAAGGAAAGGGAAGGGAATGTCCGCGTGCTTGTTATTCGATCCGTGCTGTTTTTCATTCGACAACATTAAATGGGTCTATAAAAAATATCAGATATCAAATTACAAATCTATAAAATGTGATGACAGTGTGCGGAAGAAAAGGCAAAAGAGGAGGCAGGAGAGGGAAGAGAAGAACAAAAGCCTTCATACTCTCGAGCATACAAATAAGGATTCAGGGAATGTCTCCCAAATTTTTACAAAACATTTCAGTTAATAAAATTGATATAAGATTTAAACTGTTTACACTGCACTGTTTAGTATGCAACACTGTATCCATTCACCGAAAATTCGTGTACGACGTGAAATAAAAAAATTGTCTTAACAAATTCGAATACGAAAACAACACGATCTAAAGAAATTTTCGAGAAACGGAGTGATAACGAATTATCCATGATTAGCTATTGAAATGAATTACCGATATATCGAGAATTTACTCATTGAGTTAAGATTCATATGCTTAATTTTCTTACTGTAAAGTTAGGTTCTCAAAAGATTTCCCCTATCCCGGCTTACCTCGTTCATATAAAAAACAATTTTCTTTTATTAGCGAGACCCACAATACCCCTGACTTTTCAAATTTATTTTGATCTTTTCCCTTTCAAAAAATTCAGCAATTAAAAGTATTTCAATAAGGAACAGGGCATTAGTTATGTATGACAAAAGATGTTCGCCATTCAAGATATTGCTTCGACAAAATAGAAAATTTCCGCCAAACTAATCCTTGAAAACTTAAGATGACTAAATCTCACGAATAGTCAGAAAGGCTTACCGGTGATTAACTGGGGTTCAGTGCATAGGAACGCGGGAACTGAACGACTATCTTGAAGCCTTGTTTTTTGAAAATTTGGTAAAACCATTGTCTTTTTAGCAGCCTAGATTGTGGAAAACTGTCTGAGAAATTTTGCTTTACAACAGTTCAATTTCAAAATTTAAGATTATCCCTAATTCCTGTTCAGTATTAATTTCTTAGCCTTGTATTAGATGTGTTAATAATACCTTGGACTTTGTCTATCAAGTACTGCAAAATTATATCAAACTGCAAAATTACTGCAAAATTATATTATATCAAACACATCTTTCGGGTAACAATCAGCATCCTTCAAGCATTCTTTTCAGTGCTAGTCATTGTTATCAAGCCCATTTAATAGCACTACCAAATAAAATTAAAATAACCTGTACCCAGTACCTCTCTAAAACCAGTAAAGTTTGCGATTATCACAGAAGCCTTTTAATTATAATTAGCGAAAAAAGCTTACCTCGGTATTTGCCGTGATAGAAGCGATATAGACGTTAAGCGTCATGCTGGAAACATCGACGATACTGAGGTCGTATCAAGATGAAGAATGATGATGATGGATGTGTCCTTGCAAAAACTCCTTCCAGCCAGTGTCTGCCTTCTTCCCCGCTAGAAATAATTTTGCTTGTCCACAAGCTGAAATAAGAGTGTGCTGCTATACTTTCTTATGAAGCTTCTCTCAAAAAGCGCCGAGACAATAGACAAACAGAGAAATTCACTAACAAACTGACAAATACACACTCATAAATCCGGAAACGTGCGGACAGACAAACAGCATTGATAAAATGAGAAACATGCGGACAAACATGAATCAGTGGGGAAAACCAATGACAAATGGCTGTGCAACAGAAGAGTGGAATAATGTGCACAAGCAGTGCTCCATCGCACATAAATTCAACTACAACTGAAAAACCCCTTCCATTTCTTTTCACATAATATATGTATGCATGTGTGTGTATGTGTATGTGTGTGTGTGTGTGTGTATGTATGGGTGTTGTGTGTGTATATATGCACATGTGTGTGGTGAGCGTGCGTGTGTATGTGTTGTGTGGTGTGTGTGGTGTGTATGTGTATATATCTGCACACAACACATTTATGTTTCAATGGTTATGGAATAACTTGGCTTGAGTATGCCTCCTTCTAAACTTGAAGATCCAAACTGCTGGGACAGGTATGAGTGTGCATCGTACTTAGCAATTTGTATAAAATTGAAAATCGTTGAATTGATACTGGATAGGCATCCTTGATTGTTTTTTCTTCTTCACCAGGTTAACATCCTAAGAATAATGAATGGTCGTCCATGTCCCTATCCCGCCCTTCTCATAATGACATATTTTTTTACCAAATGCACTCTTTTCCTATCCACTCTTATATGCTCAAGTCTCATTTCGTTAGCCCGAATTAACATACTGGTTGACCTCTTTCGGTTCCAGATAGAAATAGTTTGGCTTAGATGATTTAAAAAATCCAAAAGTGTTACGATGACGGTTATCAAATTCCGTTCAGTTCCCTATAATGGACTACTTTTCTCTGTTATGTCTATGACAAATTAGCTAAACACGCGGGACAAATATCACCACTAATTTATTCATTTGTGTAACTGTTCCTCCTCGTAGAACTTTTGCTCAGATCAGTTTCAGCATATCCTACCCAAAACAATGACATTTCCTTATTGCTTCATCACTTCATGTCTGAGTTGACGAATGTGGTCTTCATTTACCTCAAAAAACAAGTTTTAAAAATATTCCTCTGGAGACAGGAGTTGAATGCCGCCTCTAATGCAAATTATGTTTGTTTCAAACCCAAATGGTCTCGATTTGGATTACCTTCTTGCGACTTCTTACTCCGAAATAATTCAACATATTCTTCACATATTCTGTATCTTTATATTTTCGAAATGCATGAGAATAATAACATGGTCATCAACAATTCGGAAACATTTCTAATAATATTCGGTATAAAACGTTCAACTTTTGAATCCATTATTTTCTTATTTTTATCAATACAAATGTAACTATCATCAGTGATCAAACTATTGTCGGTGAATAGTAATTTAGCCGGCAATCAACAACACTATCTATAAATAAACATTCTGCAGAACCAGTACCCGCAAAAAATATACATTTGAAAATGAGCGATCCAATAGTTACTGATGAACGGTACATAAGTAAACGCATAAAGACAACTGGAATATATTCATGTCGGATTAGTTAATCCGACATTTGAAAGCTCCGAGTGGGAAACAAACTAAATGTTATAGATCTTCGATGTTCAGCGAATTAGCTGATTGGATTGCTCCATAGAGCTTTGTATCGACCGGATCCAGAATTCTTCCTCATCAAATTATCATGCTGCCAAAACGGCATGTTCTTCTTATGTTCAACATAGTCGATGTCAGGATATTTAGGTTGTTCCGGGTTTTTATCTATCCTTCGCATTTGCAAACGTCTCTTCAACAAATCCGCATGTACCTCCTTTGGATTTCGAAACTGATCCAAGTATCTGCAATCCAAAAAGAAAAGTTCAATACATTCATGTATGTTGCCAAATGGAAAGTTTCAAACTAGAAAAGCGAAGGCTAATCTATGAAGAACATACAAATTAAACGGCTGAGGTTTTAATGGAAATTCCTTCTGGCTCACTTTCACTGGCGGATTATATTGATATTCATAAATCGGTGACTTCATCCCTGAAAGATACTGGTAGAATACACTCGTCTTACATATAAGTCAAGATTTACCATCTTTTTCGTAACGCAGCATTCGTTGAAGGCTATATTATCTTTAAATGCACATATGAAATGCGAAGAGTTCTGGAGTTAAAACTATATCACGTCATTCAGCAGTGATCACAGGGAGATGTAAATAAAAATGAAAAACAGGACAGGAGCTCAATATTTTCAAACAATATTTGACATAAAATATTCACATATGTTTCAAAGAAAGTAACGATTGTAACAAACCAATTCTGTGAAGCGTTTCATTAACAGAAACATCCCATGAAGCTTGAGCGAATGAAAGAGCAGAAGGAGTCCATTGTTTTTCAAACTCTTTATACAATCGGCCAACATTGAAGATTCGACTCATCAGTGTTACACTAGAAATCAAAACAGAAAACCAATTATTACAATAATATCCAAAAATAGCAATACATTACTTTAATATGTTCTATCCCACTCCGTTGTTGCAAGCCTTACAGCAATTTACCAACTTGCATTAACTTTTCTCTATCATTTTATCGTAATTATAATCGACAATAGGAAACCTGCTTTCCTTCACTAACCAAAAATGATGCTGCTGGAAAGATTTAACACCTGCTACCTTTTTGGTTTTTTTGAAGCTAAATTAATAACTTCGTTATGCCGCAACAATAAACAAGCAATTCTGTGATAACCAGTTCCTTTGAATGGCATCACTTGCAGATATGGAACTATTTCTGTCCCATCAGTTACAGATTTACCATCGGGAATATTAGCTACCAGCCAATGCACAACTTCGCCACTGCAGTCATATGGGTTTCCATCAAGATTCAACAATATGAATGAACTGAATCCGCCATCTAATGATTCAATCGATATTTCTGGCTTTTTACCTAAACAGTGACAATGAAAGATAATATTCGAAACAGAACTTATACTGGGTCTGAATTCAGTCTTGGAAATTTGTTCCAGACATCTTCGGACAATCAAAGGTCTCTATCCAAAGCAATATTTATGAATTCCTGCTCTATTTCGAAATTCAGGTATGTACTTGTATCAGCGGCATCGATCAGATTTCCCTGATATAGACCAATACTGCCCCATTTAAGTTGCATATTTTGTGTATTGTGGAAGAAGATGTTTGAGTGAAAAAGATCATCAAATATGCGATAATGATGAAAAATACTCAACTGCCAATGTTCCACCGCTTTTAAATTTATTGTCACTGCAATGACAAGAAGTAATTATTACTAATGCATTGAATATAAACAGTAACTTCATTAATGATGAAGAATAATCAACTGATGATGGTTTTGGTATGGATCCCTATACAAATTTTGTATAGACACCTGTATTACATTCATCATTCTTAATACAAAAGAGTTTCGTATTGTTATACAATATAATACAAAAACGAAGTGAGTTCGTTCAAATCCCATAATTCATCATAGAACGATATCCAAATTAACCTAAAAGGAATCATCAAGATATATAACATTTTGTTAAAATTGTCTGAGAAGAAAATGTGAAAATTGAATATTTTATAGCATTGAAAACATAGAAGTCAGACGTACACTGCATTTTCTTAGATGATTTTAGAACATTTTCCGGCTCCCATAGTTGCGATGGTATTGATATCGAACTTTTTTTCTTGAAACCAATGTCATATCTTTGTGTCTCCGGTACTGTAACAATAAGGATTATTACAGTCCTGCTTCAAATACAGTTTTGATTCCCAGTTTAATCAAAAAAGTCTTCTGAGAAAAAGTCATCCTTAGTTGAACTTCAAATGTTGGGGGAAAACAGAGAAAGAAATAACCTGCTAAACGTTCTTTCAGCGACAACAAATGATTGTCTGGATCAATGACATACATTTTCGGATAAAGTACAGGTTTTGTTATTCGTGCTTTATACCAAGCATTCGGCTCATAAAATCTGTAAGGAAAATTTGGAGAAATATTATCCACATATCTCATAGATTGGTAATAGTAACCACAGATTTATGTGCTAAACAATTAAAAACACGGCTGTACTCACATGAAGTCCTGTGAAGGAACCTATCACGACCGTGTGTTGGAAGGATCCAACTTTTGGTAAGATAGTACGATTTTGTTAGGGGGAGTTCCTATCAATTACCTAACTGACAAACCAAAATTTATATAAAATAATTCGCTCTAATATGCAAACCTATTACGATAAAATGCAGCTGGTCCAGCCCAAGCGATAACTTTAGGCCTCCAAGGCCGAGCAACACGTGGTGTACCCCTGACACGATGAGCATCTTTTACATATATGTCCGCATAAATTGAACGCAATGCTCGCTTCATTGATCTAAAATATGGTATACATGAAAAGATTCTGATCAAAATAACTCATTTGAACTGTATCGTTCAGTTAACTTTACATAACGAAGCAAATTTTTCACAACAAACGTGTCAAAAAAAAAGCATGTCTATGCATCTTCCTCCAAGAGTGATGAGTCTTTGTTCACTTAGTGGCCGCATTAAATTCATTCGCTATACGGTACTCGTTTCGAAAGTATCGCTCAGTTGGGTGTGTTGTTTTAAAGCTGCTTGGCTTCCATGTAGGTTGGCTTCAAATTTGTGCAAGGGTCTAACACTTGGAGATCAGCTGATAGTATGGCGTTATGTGGTATGGGGCTTTTGAGAAAGCATTACTTCGAAGTATGGCGCAGTTCGAATGTTTGGCTGCAATAAGATGTGCATGCTTGCTTGCAGATATTTGCATGCTTGTATGGCCATTTGTTCATTTTTATTCGTTGAATGTTCGAACATTATTCCGGTCGCCTCGATATTGCGGGATGGTTCAAACGGCCGCCAAATTTGGTAATGTTTGTTCGGCTTGTTTTACGCTTCATTTACAGTTGACATCTGGTAGTGGTTCTGTGGCAATAGATAAGTAATATTTCCCAGATAGTCAGCTGTCGCACTTTCATGCAGATAATAGCCAGAGTGCGTTATTATAGATAAAATAAGCGATGTACCATATTTAGTGGTCATCGAAGGTGATGATGGATTGTGGACATCGAGGGCGATGAATATTTAGTGGACATTGAAAGCAATGAAGGATTGGCGAGAAATGCTGAGTGATAGGGAAGTTATGAATTGTCTCCGTGATGGATCTGGAAGCAGTGATGTGCATCAGGATGAAAAGTGTAGCATACGATCGTTGTGCATGCACGATATGGATGTTGTCAAAACAATTTGCCTCGAATCTTTTCCCATACAGTATCCGGATTGCTGGTTTGAGGAAGTGCTAAATGGTAAATTGATTAGTTTCGGAATCACTTATGAAGGTGCACTCGCTGCTATTCTTGTTGCTGAGCTGAAGATCTTGTCTCAGTGCAATGCTGAGGTTTTTTTTTCTTTTTTTGTATTCCTATATAAATTTAATAAAGCTCATATATCAAATTCATTATTATAGCAAGACCAGTGAAGCAAAAGAATATGAGGGAGAGAAAGATATAGAGTGATAGCCTAATCACGAATTAAATGAAATATTTCCGCAAGCGTTAAAAGATATGTCGTCCGGGGCGTAGCGTCCGAGAATCCAATACTGTGTGAATGAATAAATAAATAGGTTAGGTATTTTTAGGACCGTGATCTTTTGTCGGGTAACTGTTTGCCGGTAGTGTATATATTAAGCGTTGCTGTACGTCCACCTTATCGCCGGCGTGGTTTCGCTTCACGTCTGCTTGATCATCTTATGTTTATGGTAGTTCAACGACCACCATATCCAAAAGCTGTTTATTTACATGTATTAGCTACAAATTACGGTGCCATAAATTTCTACAAAAAACATGGTTTTTGCCATCATACTACACTGTTGTAAGTTTATTTTCCTTTTTCATATAGATATTGACGTTTATCGGTAATTAGTTATTCTATTAATAAGCTAAAGGATAATCAACAACATTTTTCCGTTTATTAGGTTCTATGGACATTACCTACAAAACATCGCGTAGATCGTTTACAATTAATATAAACAAAAGGTGTACACTACAAAGTATTTTTGCTTTTTAATCACTGTGAGTGCTTTGCAATAGTTCGATTACTCAACTAACCGCGCTTCATAGTGGTTTGATATGATTGTACATTCAGTGTTGTAACTGGTGTAGAGAAAGGAGTAGTGATTTAGCAATGATACCAGTCTTTCTTACTCTTATTACAATATTTTTAAAAACAGTGTAGCAGATGCTAAAATGCAACCGACTACTTTAGGACTACTTTAGACAGCTACTTTAGGCCTCTCAGCCATTATCGTACAATGTAATTTACATCATTGAGGTCTCTCTACTGTAGGACTTGGTCACTCACTGCAGTACTTAGTTTAGTGTAACTGAAATCAAATTCTGTATCCATTAACCTTGTAAGAAAGGCTTATGATGTTATCCGTCAAATCATTTAATCCTTCCATTAGCACCAGTCATTTTCAGAGCTGTCTACATTAGGATGTGTCATTTTACTTATCGAAAACAAAATAATAGTGCTACTTTATTACAGGAACTACTATCGCATTAATGATACATTTGGTGATGGCTTAACATTTGTGCTATATGCCAATGGCGCATGCGCACCATGGTCCGTTTATGAACTGTGTTCACTATTTTTTGCAATTCTTTGCTTCCCACTGAGGATTATTCTCAAAATGAAATACGTCTTGGGCCTGTAACAACAAATTATTACACACACATCTTAATTTACGTGTTTAGTTTATGGAAATATCGTAGCTATATCAGACTTTGTTCGATACCTTCATCGTCTGTCTTAAAAATTCACGGCTTCAAAAAGAATTGATCAGTTATTTGGACTCTTCTGGAATTTCCATTTTTTATGACTCGTGAAAAACAATAACGCTAAAAAAGCAAATTACTAAAAAAGCAATTCCGTTTTTTCTGCTGAAATTTTGTGAATATCCCGTTTATTTTTTTGCTTGTATCTAGTGCACATCTATTGTTAATTCTGAGTATGCATTCATATATTCTAGTCTTTTGCTTCATTCTTCTTTGTTTTTTAGAATTGCTTTGCATAAAAAGAATGTTTCATCATGCTGATTCTGGTGATGCAGATGAACAGCTTTGTTTGCATTAAAAGTTGCTTGCAATGCAACATTTTTTTTAATGTCACATAAGCATGTATCCACGTAATTTATCTAGTTGTTAAAAAGATTCAAAATTTCAAGTTTTGGAAATTCGACGAAATCTCATATTAGCTCTCCAGGTTGAAATTTTGCTTCCATATGTATGATGTCGCATGTTTTTTTTTATGGTTATGCGAGGTGCATAATCGAGAGGTCCTTGCACTCGCCTCGTGAGAATAACTAGTGAACTAAACATCGCATAGTGTTTAATGTATTTATCAAATGAAGTTTCATTAGCGTGTTATGAATTAACGCAAGGTTTAGATTGTTATTTTAGAGAGTGTATTGAATGCAAGGATTGTTCCAAATCTTCTTGGAAGTGATATTTTTCATATTAATTCGAAATTTATCCTATGTAGAATTTGCTTCGTGTTTGGTGTTCTAATTTATATTCTAATATATTTATGAAGTGCTATGTGAGGAATTGAGAATGGGTATATTTGTTTCTGATTCTCAAATTCAAAAAAGAAGGAAAGAAATATTGTGAGCTTTTATTTGTTTGATGTAATTAACAAACATTAAAAGATTCATCTTTATGTCATGGAACCAATCCATGTAAATTTATTCAAATTTAAGAAAAAAATTTTTTTATTCAGATATAAGAAAGAATTCATTCAAATTTAAGATTTCGAATTCGAAAACTTGCCTGAAAGATCTGCTTGGGAAAAGTCGTGGTGATATTATTAAATTAATTGTGCTGAGTGTAATAGTGACGCTATTAACTAGTCTAACACTCCTCTGGTTACTTAGCTTTAGGATTTCAATGATGTATGCTGTTCCTTTTATCAGTACACCTCATTTTCGACTTGTTTTTTGAAATTGTATTCATGTGCAAATGAATTACTATCAAGTAAATGGTTGTTTTTATTTGGTAATTGATTTAACAAGTCATTTACCTTTCAGTAATATATATGACGAATTTTAAATTAAAATTCTTTACCCTTGATATCTTCTCTATTAACAGTGGGCATGATGGTTCATTTTCGATTTTTAATTGTAAGGGAACAGAATAAATAATATTCGTGCACGGATTAATTGCAATTTTAAAATGAATGAAAATAAGCAGATGCGCTGCAAATTACTGAGTATTTGCTACCAGTGCGCATCGCAGAGAACGAGGCATTTGTAAGTGTATCTTCATCAGTCCGTGATTCATTAGAATCGCTCTTCTAAAAAAAACGATATCGCTCCTAGAAACTACTAATTGGTCACAGAGTGGTGGACTTATCGGACATATAAATGACGCGTCTCCTAGATGGACGTGAATCTATTGTTATGGCAATACTGACGGTAGTTGTTGTTGGTAAAGTGGGTATTATGGTTTTGATCGTTCTAACACTCCATGCATAATGAATTCTTGTTTGTGTTTCTAGCAGAGCATATTATTAGAACGTTTTGTTCCTCATGGGGTCCCAAATGATGATGATTGTCATTGTGATTGTTTTTAGTATTCATTTTTAATGGCGAATATAAATGATGGATATCTTATGTATTATGGATTTATCTCTAACCACCTCAACATTGCCTTTGTTGCTGTCGTTATCGTTAATTTTACCACTGCTGTTCTGATCATCTAAGGATTGTGGGTGCGGTTCTCATCAACCTTTTTTATGAATGTCCAGCTTTTCGCATCTATCCATTTCATTGGAATTTGACTTCCTTTCTCAGCTTCCTTTCCTACACTGCAATGCATTTTGCTGTCTTCTGCTTCGTACGGATATGTAGTTATCTTCATGTAGCTATGTGTTATATATATATATATATATATAGTA